CTGGGTGTGACTCAAAAAGCAGGAAAAAAAAAAGTAAACTATATATGTTTAAAAGTAAACAACCAACACATCAGATTGACAGAAAGATTGTAGGTATGATGAAGCTGAAGTGGATGCGAGGGGTGCGGGAAACCCCATTTCATAGAAGTTATTCAAGAGACCTCAGGAGATGAGCAGAGAGGGAATGCGTGATAACTCGCCTGACTGAGAGTCACTGGATGGGGCATTCCAAAGAGTTAGTCAAAGAGGGGCTGGAGCGATAGCACAAAGGGTAGGGCGTTTGCCTTGCATGCAGCCGACCCCGGTTCAATTCCCAGCATCCCATATGGTCCTCTGAGCACGGCCAGGAGTAATTCCTGAGTGCAGATCCAGGAGTAACCCCTGTGCATCGCCGGGTGTAACCCAAAAAGGAAAAAAAAAAAAGTCAGAAATCTGGGGCCAGAGAGAAAGTACAGTAGGATAGAGCATTTGCCTTGCATACAGCCAGTTTGGGCAGAAAATCACTACAGCCTCACAGAAGCAGACGAACCAACGTTCTCCATGAACACAAACATTCAGAAAGTCACTTCCAAGCACACAGGGGCAGTTTTGTCATACTCGCTACAGAGCTGGTTTTGCGGCTTGACCCCCTTTCAGCCCCTCCCTGAGCACTGGCTCTGCAGGCCGGGACTGTGGCTTGGCTGGGGTCAGGGCTGCTAGAACTTTCCCTGGGCAGGTGGGAGGCTGGGGAGAGGGGAAAGGGACCATGTCAGACCTAAAAGAAGGCTCACGCTACTGAGCAGGCCACTCACTCTGCACCCAGGCAGGGCGGGCAGGCAGGGCAGTGGGCTTCCCAGTCTGTGGACTTGGGTGAAGAGCCATCTCCTGTCGGCTCCGCCATGGAACCTGGGAGGTGGCTTTTATTACCTTCCTGGTAGCGAGGACAAAGCACCACGCTCATGATCCCAGGCAAGTCTGGACAGAGCTGACTCAGCTTCCGGTTTGCTGGCACTCAGGCCCTCCCCGCTGCTCTGCCCTGGCCTCTGCCATTGGGGAGCAAGTGGGTCTCAGATTTTCCTCCCTTGTAAAGTTCCAAGTCAGAGCTGCAGCAAGAATTGTGATTTCTGCAAGAATCTAACACACATCCCTACCCACCACCAGCTGCCTAGGACCATTCACCAGTCAGGGTTTTCTTTTTTTTTAAAACATAAGGGAGGAAGTGCTTCCTAGAGCCCCTTGAAATAATAGGCAACACAGTCTGTGTGTGTCTGTGGGCTCTTTGGCAAGAGGGTCTATAGCTGTCATCTGGTTCTCAAACCGTTTTCTGATCTGGGATGCAGAGAGCGGTCAATCGCGCTGCGTTTGGCATTGTTTCCCTGGTTCTCTCCCTTACCTGCGAAGGGAAAACGGATTTCTCGAACTGTCTTTTCAGCTTCAAGCTTGGGCTGCTTATTCTGGAGCGGCGGCAGCACAGCCTACGCAGCCCCTCGCCCGGGATCTTCCACAACTGCCCCAGCGCCATGGAAACAAACTGACGGGGGAGGCCACGGGCGGCCGGGCAGTAGGACGCGGGGCCAGCACTTCATCTTTCATAGAGAAATGGAGAGTCCCTCAGGAGGGGGCTGGCTCTCTGCCCAAAGCACCGCGAACAATGAGTTTACTTTATACGAATCCCGGCCATGTGGACAGGGTAGATACCAGAATTTTAAGAACGCTCCCAAAATGTTTCTCTAGGCCAGGTGGGTTTGTGGAGCCAGGAATCAGGCTTAGATATGTATTCTAGGCCCGAGAAGCAACAGCTGGTAGGTCTTAGAATTAGAGCCACAGCGATAGTACAGAGGGTAGGGCACTGGCCTTGCATGCAGCCAACCCGGCACCCCATATGGTCCTCCCAAGTCCCTGCAGGAGTGATCCTGGAGTATGGTTTTGGGCCACTGATATGGCCCAAAAGCAAAAACAAAAAGAAAGGAAAAGAGAAAGAATTTGGGTTGATCAGAGAAGCAGCATTAATCTAAAAATAGCCAAGTTTGCTCTTTAACCTAATGTCACAGACAAATGCAACAGACAAATAACGAATTCGTTTCCTGCTCTGGAGGAAACTGCTGAGAGAAAACTTTCTGATGTAGAACGTGGTACTTTCAGAGGACCAGACAGAGCAGGAACTAAGCCTTCAATACAGCCCGTACCAGGTGATGCTCAGGAGGTTATTACTGGCTTTGCATTCATGAAGTATTCCTAGGGTGCTCAGGGAACCACATGAGATGCCAGGGATTGAATCCGGGTCGGCTGCAAGCAAGAAAAGTGCCTTACCCACTGTACTATCACTCTAGACTCATATTTTTTCTTTAGTTTTTTGGGCCACACCCAGTAGTGCTTGGATCATGCCTGGTGGGGCCTGGGGACGGGAACCACATATGGCCCCAGGGATGGAATCGGGTGTTGCATATGAAAGGCAAGCACATTACCCCTATAATATCTCTCCAGCCCCACTTTATTTTTTATTTGAACAAAGAGTTAGAAAACTTTGCTTTTGTGAATCTGAGTCTTTTGCATAATCATTTTTAGGGCTTCATTATTATTTGTGATTGTTTTGTAATTGGGAGGAAACTAAAGAATCTATGAGATCAAACAGGTCAATAATAATACTGTTCCATGTAGTGATTTTATTTGAAATTATCTCTGAAGCTCATGATTTACTCCTAAAACACTGCTTTTTTTCTCATTTGCTTTGTTTTCGGATCACACCCAACGGTACTCAGAACTTACTCCTGGTGGGGTTCAGGTGACCATATGTGGTGCCACGTGCAAGGCATACTGCTCTGAATCCCGATAAAACTTACCTGGTGGAGGCCAAGGAGCTGGCTCAGCATGGCCTGCAGACACGGCTGCCCCTGTGCCGGAAGCCCAGCACAGTATGACCTGGTGGCCTCCAGCAGTGCAGCATGGACCAAACCATTCAGTCAGGTTGCCTGAGGAATGCTGGGAAAAGGGGCTCCCTGGCCCCCTGAGCACTACTTAGGAGTCCTCTCCCTCAAAAAGTGTTGGAAACAGATTTGCTAACCTCTAACAGAAATATTAAAGAAAAAGAAAGATTGGCCCTTAGGGCCTAATTGCTTTCCCATGGAACTCTCCAGAACTTTCTCACTGCAGCTTGCTCTCCTTGTGTGAACTGTGGTCTGCTTCTGGGAAGTGTGTTCCTGGGGCATCTCAGCCTTCCCTAGGGGTCCCGACCAGACTAACTCCAGTCTACTTGACCTGTCCCAGAAACTATTCCAAATCTGCCTTCCAATGAGGAAGGGCCTTCAACCGTTGCTCTGGCTGCAAAGAGACCCAAGGATGAAACAGGGTCTTTGTCCTTGACATGAACAATGAGCACTGGAACATGAAAGAACTTTGCTGGCTGTGAAGAGACTTGGCTCTGCTGGTCTGGGTTTTGGAGCCCCTGAGCTTCTGAAAAGCAAATACTGTCCATTAAATAAATGATAATTTATTTACGTCAGTATGAACTCACAAATTATTTAATTATTTAATTTATTTAATGAATTATCGCTCTGCATGTGGAGCGATAATTCATTAAATAAATTAAATAATTAAATAATTTGTGAGTTCATACTGACGTAAATAAATCAATCAATCCATGGGAAAAAAGAAAGACGCTTGTCTCTTTTTCTTTTCTTTTTTCCTTCTGGGTCACATCCAGGGCTTACTCCTGGCTCCGTGCTCAGCGATCAATTCTAGCTGTGCTGAAGGGACCACATGAGGTTTTGGAGAACTGAACTCAGGCCGGCCATGTGCCAAGACAAGCACCATATCCACTCGACTATCTCTCCAACCCCAAGGAAGCACTTCTTTATAGCAGAGAGCCAAGTAGCAAATGCAGGAGAAATGAGGAAAACAGACAATTGACATTTGGCAAACACTGTAGTAATAACTACTTTAGGCAGGAATTATCGAGGAATGTCAAAATGAGTGGGCCAAGTGTGATAAGAAACAGGATATTTACACAGTCCCAAAGATACATCCCCCAAGATAATTATTAACTACAAAGAGAAAAATAGTAACTGTGAAGCAGAGAAATCTGGCAGACACCATCTTAGGGAAATGATCGATGTCAACTCGACTAGTAATGACTGACACAGATCAACATGACGGACCTCCATATGTGCTGTACAGAGAAGGGTCTGTCCAAGCCTCTCTGCTTTTCTTGTCAGAAGTGCATAACCTCGGTTTAATCAAGAGGAAACATCAGACAGTTTGAGGGTTCTGTGAAAGACTGGCCAATGCACTTTTAACAGCGTCAAGGCCAGTGGAAGACAAAGACTGAGGAACTATTTGAGATTAAAGGAGCCGAAGAGACCTGACAACGAAGTGCATGACAGGATTCTCGAAGAGAGAAAGGGCATTAATGGTGCAATATCACTCCTGTTTGATCCTGTGCTTATATAAGATGTTAACAGCTCAGTACAGTGAGGGCAGATGAGTATAAGTCTCAATGATCTCAAAACGAAGTTAGACAAATGATATTTGAAAACATAGATGCCAGAGATAAGACTTGTTTTTCCCAACGTCCAACATAAGTCCTGCAGGCTCACTTGGGCTGGGGGGCTTTGGGATCCATTTGGGATTATTAGAGTCCAGCTCCGGTTTCTGGGATTTAGAGATGTAATACGGAATCACTTTCTAGAGGCATAAAACACCTCAAACAGCTTTCCAGGGAAGGTCCCAGGCCTGCCAAGTCCCTCCTCAACCTCTGGAAGGATTGTGTCTTTTTTTTTCCTCCTTTTGGGTCACACCCAGCAATGCACAGTGTTTACTCCTGGCTCTGCACTAGGAATTACTCCTGGCAGTGCTCAGGGGACCGTATAGGATGCTGGGAATTGAACCTGAGTTGGCCGCGTGCCAGGCAAATGACCTACCCACTGTACTATCACTCCAGCCCCAGGACTGTGCCTTTGTGAGACACAACTGTGACTGGTGGGAGGAGAAATGCAGTAGAAAACAGTAAAATGTTCATCACTCACTTGTCCTGGGATTCAATATACACGTAGAGATGCGGCTCAAAGCACTTGGAAACGATGCCATGAAACGGATTGTCTGGTGCCTTAGGCTTCTTCGGCTGAAAGGGAAGAATGATAGAAGAGAAAAGAAAGCCTTTACTCAAGCCATTTTTGACATTTTTCAAGCAGTTTCAAAGAAAATATTCCCCCCAAATTCACCCCTAGCATAACTGCAGATAAGAGGTGCGCAATGCAACTCAATGAAACGAAACAGATGATGTTTTGCACTGCGATTCATCTCAGTCTGTGAACAATAACCCAGCTTGGTTAGCATCATTTACTTGCCTTGTATGGCGAAAGATTTACTGCTACTTTGATAACACATGCGTTTTCAATTTGGAAACTATTCCTCATGCGACTGATGTTTTAAAAATGGAAATCCTAGCTAGCAGCAGCACCTCATATGTGCACAGAGCATTAGAATGTATAAAGTACTTTCCCAAGATCTAATTTTGATAGCCTCCACTTACTATTATGGGTCAAGTATTTGATACAAAATCATCTCTCCCCTCCTTGGAACAACCCTCCATATAGCACTGTAGCACTGTCCTCCCGATGTTCATCGATTTGCTCGAGTGGGCCCAGTAACATCTCCATTGTGAGACTTGTTACTGTGTCTGGCATATTGAATATGACACAGGTAGCTTCCCAGGCTTTGATGTGCGGGCGGAGGAATCAAACCCGGGTCGGCCGGGTTGGTCGTGTGCAAGGTAAACGCCCTACCCACTGGGCTATTGCTCCACCCCACCCTCCACATAGGTACTATAAAACTATTTCAAATCTAAAGAAAGGGAGGCTGGGGTGGAAGACAAAGCTTGCATGCAGGGGGCTTCAGTCACTGGCGTGGCATGGGGTCAGCCCCTGGGTAACGCCAGCCACGCGTGTCCTCACCCTCACCCTGGACAGGGCTACAGAATAATTGGGAATGGCCCCAAAATCACAAAACGAAAGGAACACAGAAAGAGAGGCTCAGTGGGCTCTAAAAGCCTTACCAAAAGCACATGATGACGCTTCCCGTCTCCTGAACTAGAACTTTTCCTATCATCTCATCGCTTTCCTATGGGGGTTCCAAACTCTTCAATTTCATCGACAATACAAGGGAAAGGAGGTAAGGGATCAGAAGAAAGCTGCTCATCTTTAATTTTGCTTCTATTCTCACCACAAGTTCCTAAAAGATGAACATTTTATGCCTGAAAACCATATACGGAGAACATAGCATGAACGCAGTAACTCCTAAGAAAAAGAGGTGGTAACCATTCATGAGACAGACAGACACACAGACAGTTCTTTACTTTTTGCCTTGCACCAGTGAAAGACTGGCACGCACTGGTCCCCTGATAGCTACTCACAAGCAATTGGTCTGGACATCATCTGGACCAGCCTGCATTTTAAAAACTTGCATATGCGCCTTGTGGACAGCAGGTATGAGCCGGGGGAGTGGGGGCGACTAAAACCTCATGGGAAGGGGGGCGTTCCGGTCCGTCCTTCACGCCCTACCGAGGTCACCAGTTGCCCCCCACAAGCGGCTCTCCAGCACGGCCACGGCCCCAGAAGCACAAGGACTTAATGCAGAACCCGGCAGCTTGGAGCAGAAAAGTGAACAGACTATGCGTTAATCCAGGCCATCAGGTCTGTCCGGAGGGGAAAGGGTGTTGCCCCAGTCGCCTTCTCCTCTCTGGAAAGAAAGATGGCGGCTGCATGGGAGCCTTGTGGACAGCAGGTATGAGCCGGCGGAGTGGGGGCGACTAAAACCTCATGGGAAGGGGACATTTCGGTCTGCCCTTCACACCCTACCGAGGCCACCAGTTGCCCCCCACAAGCGGCTCTCCAGCACGGCCACGACTCCAGAGCACAGAAACCAATTTCTTAACTATCTGACTTTCAGTAGAAATACTTCCAGGGTCAATAAGTAAAATAGCAGAAATCCAAAACTGACATTTAATTCTTGAACCCAGCTGTAGAAAGCAAATCACTTCACAATGCTTTGTCAGCATGTCTGATTTGGGGGTTGGGGGGTAAACTCTAAATAATAGTGGTGAATCTTTTATTGAAACAATGAATCTAATCAAAGCAGATAGAGTGTTAACTAGAATTCATCTGCCCCACAGGGACTGGGAGGGGTGGGGGGTGGGGTTTTATTGGGGTTCTTCATGGTAAAAAATAAGTTTTGGTAAAGGGAAATGTGCTTGATATTTGCATGACTGAGACCTAAACCTGAAAGCTTTGTAACCTTTCCCATGGTGATTCAATAAATAAATAAATTAATTAAAAAAAAACTTGCATATGCTAATTCTTTGTCAAAGTCTCTGAGGAAAATAAATTAAGATCTCCCTTAAAAACACATTAATTCACTGACTTTCCTGGGGTTAAGATTCAAGTACACTTTGGGTATAAACTGGCATCCATAACATCGAAAATGGAAGTACCCATTTGCTTTAATAAATACAAGAAAAGCTAAGCCAATGACAAACATAATTACTTTTTTCTTAATATTTTTAAAATTAAGAGACAGCAGTGGTTTAAAAAATTCTCTAAAATGGGGCTGGACAATAAGAGAGAGAGAGAACAAAAGGGAATGCCCTGCCACAGAGGCAGGGTGGGATGGGGGGATGGGAGGTGGGAGGGATACTGGGATCCGTGGTGGTGGGAAATGGGCACTGGTGGAGGGATGGGTATTTGATCACTGTATAATTGAAACCCAAGCACAAAAATTTGTAAGTGTACAACTGTACCTTATGATGTCTCACTGATAAAAAATAAAATAAAATAAAATAAAATGGGGCTGGAGAGATGATATAGTGGGTAAGACACTTATTTGACTTGCAAGTGGCTAGCCTGAATTTGATCCCCAGCACCACCGATGTTCTCCTGAACCCTGCCAGGAGTAAGCCCTGAGCACTGTGAAGTGTGACCCCAAAATCCCAAAATAAAACAAAAACATTATCTCTAAAAATTATGGAGGATTCAGGGGCCAGAGAAATAGAATAGTGGGTAGGTAGGGCACTTTCCCTGCAAGCTGCTGACACCAGGTCCAATTCCTGGCACCACATATGATTCCTGAGCCCCTCCAGGAGTCATCCCTGAGTGCAGAGCCAGGAGTAAGCCCTGAGTACAGCTAGGTATGGGAAGAAAAAAAAAAAAAAAGAGGATCCAGGGTTGGGGATCCAGCTCAGAGGGCTGGAATGCATGCTTTGCATGTGGGAGGCCCAGGTTGGACCCCGGGAGGGAGACCCCTGGACAATGTGCCAGGAGTAGCCCCAAGCACTACTGGGTGTGGCCGCAAAACCAGAAACATAGAAGTAAAGTAAAATTAAGGAGGATTCATGACATAGTATGAACCCTGTGAGGGGGTAGCCCTTATTCATTTGTTCTACATTTTTCAAGCCAGTTATCCATTATTCTTTTCAATAGGGGCTTTATTAAATGACCTGCCAATTTGTCTAATATTAAGAGACTATTTCCTGAGTGGAATTAGAGATATAACTACTAACACCCATGTGCCTTTTTATTAATGCTGCTGAAAACAATCAACATAAAGGTCATACTTAGTTCTTTTATTTCTATTTGTATTATTTATTTTTGTTTTCTTCTACTGTAGAAAATCCTTGCCGTGACAAAACCACCGCAAATAATACTTTCTACTTAAAAGTCATGAATCTGTCTCATGAACGAATATATGTAAAGTGTGTGTGTTTGTATAAGTGTGTGTGCACGCATGTGTGTGTGTGTATGCAGTCACTCCAGGGTCCGAGCCCAGGGCCTCATACAGTAAAGTGTGTGTCCAACCAAGGCACATCTCCGCCTGACCCAGTAGATGATAACGAGAGCCTAAGTAATACAGGCTCTGTCATCTCTTTAGCTAGGGGCCACTCCCAGAGGTAGTCAGCGCACACGCAGGCTGAAAGGTTTGGCGCCTGGGCCGGGTGATGCGGCTGGTACTGCTCTGCTCACCAAGTCATACTCAGCAGTACCTGAGGGTTACACAGTGCTGGGGGGCAAACTTGGCCCCATGTGCTCCACCCCTCTGAACTATCTTCTTAGTCCATCTTCTTTGTGTGTGTGTGTGGGGGGGGGGGGTTGGGGCCACATCCAGTGAACCCCAGAGGTTACTCCCTCCTGGCTCAGCACTCAGGAACCACTCCTGGCTTTGCTTGGGGGACCATATGAGGTGCCAGGGACTGAACGCAGGCAAATGTCCTATCTGCTGTACTATTATTCTGGCACCCTTTTTTTTGCAGTATGTATTTATTTTATTTGTCTTTATTCACCTAAAGTTTATGTTCACTTTTCTACCTACTGGCAACATTTTCATTTCTCACATAATAGTCTCCTGAGCCTAGCCAGGAGCAAGTTTTGGAGGCCACCCCTGGCAGTGCTTGGGACTAATTCATTCCTGGCTCTGTGCTCAGGGATCACTCCTAGTAGGATTTGGGGGACCAAATGGGATGCTGGGGACTGTTTTCTGGGCAGCAGCATATAAACCAAGTGTCTTATCTGCTGTACTATCTTTCTGGCCCTGAACTCATTAAGCTTAAAGCTGCAGTTTTAAGTGATGAAAGGAAATGGTTCCACAGCCGTGGAGTAATTGCATCTCAACCGGCTACCCCAGGCCGTGGGCTTGGCAGGGTCCCTGAGAACACTCAGAGGGTGGTGGCACTGTCACTGTTCAGGTATTAGCCTGCAGGGGACTGCTCCACCCAGGGGGTGTAGAGACACCTGTCACCAGGGCTCTTGTGCTTTCAGTGAGAGCTGGAAGCAAGAGGGGAATTATGGGAGGGATTCAGAAGTGTCCTTTTCTCTCTTCCCCCCCCCCCCCCCACCCCGGGCTGCCTCAGGCCTCTGGCCGCTTTACACGGGTGCTCACAGTCGGAGAATAGGTGCTGGAATGTCCAACCCCAAGTGGAGTCTCCCTTCGCAATGGTCAGCTCCCCCAGGGCTGACTCTCAGCTTAAAGAATATACTAAGTCCTTTAGCAGTAGCGTGCAGGCTGGATTTTGGAGTGTGTGAATTCTGTCCCAAAGCTGCAGATGTTTAAGCTATTTCCTCTTGGAGTTTGATGGAATAATAAAAGGTTACTGTTGTCACAGTAAGGAGGGCTGCAGCTGGTCCCATTTCCTTTCATTACTATCCAATGTAAACAGATTAAATCTAACTGCTCGGATCACCAGAAGGGTACATTTGTAAACCACAAATTCCTTATTTCTTCTCCCTCTTTGAGCACCCCCAGTCTCCTTTCTGATGACCTCCCCCTTTTCAATTTTAAATCACTATGCTGGGTAGGCCAACCTATTGTTCACACTAAAAATACCACTTTGCAAGTTCACTTTCCTTTCGACCACCAGACCTGTGTCCCAGGTGCTAAACAGGGAATGATGCTGACACCTGAGGGGTCAATGTCCCCCGAACTCTCTGACCCAAGGTAACCTGACCTCCCAGTTCTGGCCAAGCTCCCCACCAGCATCCTGTGGGCTCCCTCCCTAAGACCCCACAGGGCGCCTGTGCTTCCTGTGCACCCAAACCCAGCAGCCCATAACGGCTGGGAATAAGGCGCCCCTGGGGCTCCCACTGCATCAAATGCATCAGACAAGGGCTGGGGGAGGGGGTGCTGTGGGAGGTTGGGGAGGGAGGTGAGGAGGGGTAAGTCACTGGTGTCCAGGTCCTATTAGGGACAAATACAGCCCTCCAGGGATAGGGCCTGAGATGCAGCCTTCAGCTACCAGCCCTGCAGTGTCAGCCACTCGCTGCTGCTCACGGCACTCATTTCTCTGTCCCTCACATTTTATGAAGACATCATGGGGTAATAAAAAGAGCGCCAGGAACGGAATTCTGGTCTCTGACTTCTAGACCTGGCTTCCCATCTGAACTCCTTCACTTCCATGCTATGGGCAAATCACTTTAACCTCTTTGACCTGCTCACATAAAAATCCCATAAAACGAGAAGCATTGTGAAGTGGAAATGAAATAGAACGGAGAAAAGACTCTTAAACTAGGAAAGGACCATAAAAATAGGAGGCACCCATGTTACGACAATTATGTGAACCAATGGACCAGACACATTTTATTGCAACACCACGAAGCTGCTGCTAAAAATTCAGCTCTCTCTGTTCCCACCAGAATGCTAACATCTACCTCCGCTGGACTAGGAATACAGGTTGCGCGGCAGAACATGAGATGACACATTTTCCAGAGCTGGTCTCCCCAGCCAGACTCGGCCAGACTCGCTTTCGGCGGTGGTGTCTGGGGCAAATCGATACGATCAAGGATTTCCCCGGCAGCTAGAGGCAGAAAATTAAAAAAGAAGGGCCACTAATCCAGGCCGGAAAAACCTTGATTTCTTACTCTGTGATTTCATCCACTCTAGGATGCAGGGAGAGGAAATTTAGAGCTGGACAGAAAAATCCAAAGGAAATGAAAGTGTGAGAGTGCTGTGAAAAGCAACCCTCCAAAGACACCACGGGCTGGCGTGAGGGAACCAGGCCTCCCCCACGGCTTCCAGACCCGCTGGAATCAGCTTACAGGGAGCGGTGGCTTCTCTGAGCCCATGGTACCACTAACATCCCCGGGAACGCTCACCCTTCACATCATCCCTGGGCCAGAGGAGGAGAGGCCGTTGGGAAGCTCAGGTCACCAGGTCAGCAGGTGGCAATTGAGGCAGTGCAGAATGGGGACACAGACGCGCAGGACGAGTGGGTGGTGGCGTTTCCCTGGGGAGCCTCGTGAGGAGCAGAGGGGTCAGGCACGTAGCGCCTCCTCCACTCCCTCTCCTCAGTGCACTTTCAGAGAAAAGACTACACAGGAGGCCACCAGAGTGGTCATCTCAGACGGCTCGTGGCATGTGAAGAGGCATCCCAGACTTACTTGGTCAGAGTCGCCTTTGTCCACCATCTCCTCCATCTCTGGGGCTGGCTCCTCGTCCAGGAAGGGATTGGGCGGGGCTGGAGAATCGAGTTTCTTCTGTTGAGAAGACAGAAGTGGGGGGAATGCATTTTCTAAGTACATTCACCAGCTAGCCCCTCCGCCCCCCCACCCCAGAGCTCCTGCTTTCTCCAAGTCTCGACAAGAATTAAACCAAGAGGCCTCATTTAGTACGTCAAAGAGAGACAGTGTGCCTCCAGGCCTTTGCACTGCTTTTCTACCTTCTGGAATACTGGATACCTGCCCGACCCAGGTCCCATTCTGGCTGCAACTCTCATTCACTCAGCTTCCAACATCAGACAGAAGTTCCTCCTTCTCTAACCCTTCCCCAACAGCAAGTTTAGGGGAGACGTCTCAGCCATGTGCTCCTACCCCCACCCAGTTTATTCCTACCCGTGAACTTGCGACAGCAGCGTGAGTACTTAGTTATTTCTGTTTTCCCCAGAGATACCCTGCCAGCAGGGTAAGTGTCTGACTTGTTCCCCAACCTCTCTGGTGTCTGACAAGTAACAGGTGTTCCAAAACTATGAATGAATAAACATGTCAGTAGGGTTTGAGTTCAAGAACAAACTGTAAAGAAAATCCTTTTTTATTTTTCTTTAACAAGCTGAAGATCGGATGTAGGCCCTTATACATTTAAGGCAAGCGTTCTATCACAGAGCCCCACCCTTTATGCATTCTAGATTATACACAGACGTCCTTTCATTGATAAGGTCCATGTAAGAAACCACAACAATACCTTCTGGAGAAAAATTACTTCCCATCTTCTGAATGGGAGCATTCTTTTAAAATACACCATTAAATGGGGCCACAGGATAGTGGGAAAGCTGGCGGCAAGATATGTAAACTTTAGATCCAACTCTGCCACATGGGCGAAAGCATTTTGCTTCTCTCATTCACAGCAGGATCATCTGCTAAGAGATGATTCCAGAACTACTTGAAGGGGCAAATGTGAAGTAGTATGTGAAACCGTTTTAAGAACCACATGATACATACAAGGGACATTGGTGATAATCACTGCAGTCCAAGAACAGGATTAATGCAGCTCATTCGAATTTGTTCCTTACACATTTCATTTTGAGATGTATATGCTGGGAAGCTAAGAGTACTAGCAGAAAGGAAACCAAGTTGGGGCTGGAATGATAGGACAGTGGATAGGGCACTTGCCTTGCACGCGACTAACCAGGGCTCAATCCCCGGCATCCCATTTGGTCTCCTGAGCACCGCTAGAAGTAATTCCTGAGTGCAGAGCCAGGAGTAACCCCTGAGCATCACCAGGTGTGCCCGCCTCACCCTCCCCCCAAAAAAAAGAAAAGAAAAAGTGAAGAAAGAAAAAAGAAAGGAAATTAAGTGGCAAATCAGGGAATAAAAGAAATTGGCTGGTACTAGGAATGAGAAGGGACAAGAAATAACTCTCTGAAGAACTCAGATGGAGAGGTAATTTCTAAATGCACTGGTGACATTTTTGTGTATATTTGTGGAACAACTTGAACTAATCCATAAGCCATGAGAGACAGCAGCTGGAATATAAATATGAATGACTCTGTCAAGTGCCAAGACATCAGCTGAAGAGATTACAAAAAAAAAACAAAAAACAGAAGCAAACAAAAACCCTGAACACACAAAACAAAAACTGCACCTGTGGTCTGGTACAGGCTTTAAGGCAATTCTGCCTACACTCAATCTGAATTACTTGGTCAAAACACATGGGAGCTATTACATAGTAAAATTCCTGTCTGAAGAAAGCCTAGTGATGAATCCGTTACCTCAGGTAAACACTAGCAGGACAATGATTTGGGAGATTCCCCCGCTGAGAAACAATATGGTCTAGCATTAGGTGAACATTCTGAATATACAATCTGAATTTTGGGTTATTTGTCTGATGTGAAAAATAATCTCTACAAACTTAAAAGTTTTTTTTTTTCTTTTTGGGTCACACCCGGTGATGCACAGGGGTTACTCCTGGCTCTGCACTCAGGAGTTACTCCTGGCGGTGCTCAGGGGACCATATGGGATGCTGGGAATCAAACCCGGGTCAGCCGCATACAAGGAAAATGCCCTACCTGCTGTGCTATTGCTCCCGCCCCAAATTAAAAGTATCTTATTCCCCCCCCCCCCAAATGCAAGGTTTCTTTGAAAATGATATTTCTAAGCTTCCACTGTCTTTGTAAGTACTGTTGGTATTTTAGGGAGAAGAGTGTGGTTAGAAAGAAAATCGGTGAATCATCAACAACGACCCAAAATAGTTCATCGAATTGGATTCCTGATGTTACTGGCTCAACAGTGGATGTGGGATCATGGCTCTGCTCAGAATTCTCCAGTGACAAAAATAGGATCTTTTTCCTTCCCCTCCTGGCCTCTTAGACAGTGCTCAGGAGGCCTGGTGGTCCTTCCAGTGAGTCTCAGACAACCAGTCCTGTGGTGTGGTGTCAGGGATCAGTCTCTGGGCCACCCCCACAGTGCTGGAAACCCCCAAGAATACCCCCGCTAGGATGTGGGGTCTCTGGGGCTGCACCCGCTTGTGCTGGGAACTGAACTCAACTCGGTGCCTGTCAGACTTGTGCCCTACCGCTGCACCCTCTCCCAACCCCAGGACTGAGATTTTCATTCAAAAGTTTATCATGCACTGCCAGGACTAGCTGGGTTGAACATAACACCTCACGGTTACATAGAGCTGGGTTTCTCCTTTTATTTCTTTTTTTTAACGATTTGGTGCCACACCCTATAAGTGCTCAGGGCTTACTCCTGGCTCTGCACCCAGGAATCTCTCTGGTGGCTCTGGGGACCATGTGGGGTGCCGAGGATCAAATGCCTGACCTACTGTGTGATTGCCAGTGCCATCATTTTTAAATCATAATGTAGTCCTGGAAATCAGGACAAAAAGTAGACACTGGTATCAATATTGCAAACCACAATGCCCAATGCCCAATGGGCTGGAGCGATAGCACAGCGGGTAGGGCGTTCGCCTTACAAGCGGCCAACATGGCCGACACAGGTTCGATTCCTCCACCCCTCTCGGAGAGCCTGGCAAGCTACCGAGAGTATTCGATATGCCAGACACAGTAACAACAAAGTCTCCAATGGAGACGTTACTGGGCCCGCTCGAACAAATCGACGATCAATGGGAGGGCCTTTACCTTTACCTTTACCTTTACAATGCCCAAAATGAGAGAGAGAGAGAGAGAGAGAGAGAGAGAGAGAGAGAGAGAGAGAGAGAGGAGAGAGAGAGAGAAAGTGCCTGCAGGTAGGCAGGGGGTAGGGAGTGATCAGAAGGAACCTGGGGACACTGGTGCTGGGAAATGTACACTGGTGGAGGGATGGGTATTGAAACACAATATGAATGAACAGCATTGTAAGTAAGGGTCTATCTCACAGTGATTCAATACAAAAGTTAAAAAAAAAAGTGGACACTGGTGAACTGGACTAAGGGTGTGCCCCAAGACCCAATGCCTGCTGGTAAAGTGTTCAATGCATGCATCTAAGTAGCAAGAAGTAAACATGTAGATGACAGTTAAAAAGAAAGCGCAGGAACTACCGCTTTTGCTCATTTGTCTTTATTTGTTTTTGGTTTGGGGGCCATCTGGAGGTACTCTGAGCTTACTTACCTGGCTCTGCACTCAGGGATCACTCCTGGCAGTGCTCAGGGACCATATGGGATGCTGGGGATCAAATCTGGGTTGGCCGCAATCACTCTATCTGCTGTGCTGTCTCTCCAGTCCTATATCTTTTTGTTTGTCTTGAAAGGGCAGGGCACACTCAGTGATGCTCAGGGGTCAATCCTAGTTCTGCATTCAGGAATTTCTCCTGATGAGGCTCCATCAGAAAAAATGGGATACCAGGGATTGAATCTGGGTTGGCTGTGTGCAAGACAAGCCCCTGATCTGCTGTACTACTGCTCAGCCCTGTATCTTTCTTTTTAATAGAGGCCATAGCAGTGGTCTGGGGGGGCCCTAGGGACCATTCCCAGCAATCCTGGAGTCCACTGGTGGCTGGGGGCTACTAGGGCCATACCTGGCTATTTGCATGGGGTTATACAGTGCCATGAATGGGATCAGGCCTGTGCACATACCAGGACTTGAACTCAGGTTTGTCAGAGCTATCGTGTTAGTGAGAAGGTGATATTTCAGCAGAGGCCGGATGTAGATGGAGCTGGTCAAGCTAAGGCTTAGAGAAGATCTGGCCTGGCACGGGGACATGGTGCGAAGGCTGGACGGAGCCTCGTGAAGGTGAAGGACAGGACTGAGGATGAGGATGGGGAGGGGGCATGAGGCAATGACCCCATCATAGCTTCTCTTGAGCCATGAGAGGAAGGGCTCGGCCCAAACTGACAGCTAGACTTCTCTCCCCATTGCAACTGGGGGGTCGTGATATTAATATCACGATATTAAGTCATGATACTCCTTGTTTCCACGGGGAATGAGACGAACTCTCACATACTTAAGAACTGCAATTCCACTGCCCAGGGGAGATCCCACAGACATGGGAGTAGGATGCTCACTCCGGAGATGGTGGCAGTGTTCCAGCCGTCAGGGAACTGAGCTGGAGCTGGTGTCATGGAGACAGAGGACAGCAGGCAGATTCAGGCCGCGGTGTCTTTAGGAGAGGTCCCGCTGAATGGATGGAGGTGACGGGGAAGAAAGGAGCCAGGGCGCACCTGGCCTGAGCAGCTCCGTGGCTGGCGTTACCAACCGGGGTTCCCAGTCACATCTGGCCTCTGCCCCTTTCAGAAAACATTCACTCAGTGTTATTCCCCTGTTCCCCTCCCCCAAACCACCTCCTCTAACTGACAGACCAGAAAACGCCCCCAGTTGCACCCAAGGCTGCTACTGCCCCTGGGTCATTTGGCAACCCTGGGGGTAGGGCCCCATCACCCCCAGTGGGAGACTGCTGCCACACAACCTGGCACAGGCCTGGGACACCTTCAGCGCTCGCTCGCTCAGGTTTGGATCTAACAGATCTGGGTTCAAGTCCTTGGCTTGGCCACTCGAGTTGCTTAGCTTTCCCAGACCTCAGTTCTACCTGAGAAATGAAGGGCTAGA